TGCCCTGTTACACAGAAGTACAGTAAAATCTCAGACACTTCGCTGTCTTATAGTTAGTATATTTATTTTATACAGCTTTTTGTCAATAGTTGAATTAGATAAAAAAATTTTTTAAGTAAAGGAAGAAAATAGATTATTTTTTGTCAGATCCTTTTTTAAAAATTTAAGTATCGTTGATTTACAATGTTGTGTTAATTTCTGGCATACAGCATAGCGATTCAGTTATATATATATATTCTTTTCAGATACTTTTTCATTATAAATTATTACAAGCTATTGAATATAGTTCCCTATGCTATACAGAAGGACCTTATTGTTTATTTATTTTATATATAGTAATTTGTATCTGCTAACCCTCAACTCCTAATTTATCCCTACCCTCCTTCCCCTTTGGTAGCCATGTTTGTTTTCTATGTCTGTGAGTTTGTTTCTGTTTTGCAAATAAGTTCATTTGTGTCATTTTTTTAGCGTGCACATATAAGTGATATCATATAGTATTTGTCTTTCTCCCTGTCGGATCCTTTAATGAACTACAGAACATTATGAATTGCTCCTGGATGTGGGGGTAGGGTGGAGTGTGTTAAATTTCAAGAATTATTCACACAGGGAAACTTACTTCCTTCTTCCTCCTATGGAATGCTTACTAACATTGGAAAGAACAATAGAACAACAGAATACAATTAGTAGGAAACCATTTGGAAAGCCAGAGTAAAATGTAATAAGAATGATGGAAATGTAGTTGAGGAGGGGCAGTTTTCACATCCCTTGAAAGCTAAAATGAGGTGGACTAATGGGTGCTCCAGCATTACCTAAATGGTGCTTTTGCAGGTGTGCCCAAACCAAGCTAATGGGATTTTGTCCAAGGGTCAGATTTTAGAGCCAAGAGGGGGCTTTGAGACAATGCCATCTCTCTCATTTTACACATGTAACACTGAGGCACAGCAGAAGGAAGGCACTTAGGACCACCCAATTCATTGGTGACAAATGATGGGAATAAAAATCTAAGTGTTCTGAGTCACTCATGTGTTCCTTACACACCCTTTGCTCTCATATTGTGCTATTGTTTCATTTATTTGTAACTCAATCTTAAAGTCTCTGAAGGCAAATACTGTTTTGTTCCACTTAAAAGCTCCTACGACAGAGTAGCAACCTGTTGAACATCTACCATATTCACAATAGTCACCCTTACATCCGGTGCTGCCCATCACAACCTTCGGCCGCAATGGAGAAGCTCACTATTGGCACTGTCCCATATGGTCGCCTGAGCCATGTGTGGTTATTCAGTCCCTGATACGGTGCTACTGAGTCTGAAGAATCGATTACCTAATCCCGTGTAATTTTGATGAATTCAAATTTACATTTAAATAGCCACATTGGACAGCGCTGCAGTGACTACGTGTGGCTACAGTGGTGTCATAGGACTGAATATGAGGAGGAATTAGCAGCCAAGGCTGGGGTGTGAATTCCCACGAGGCCTTATTTTTGATCGTGAGGAGCAGTCCCGCCATTGGCGCAGGGCCCCATTCATTCCACAACGTTTGACAAGCCCTAGAAGGGCCAGGCCTGGAGCGGGGGTGCCTGGGTACCTGCCACCAGGCGGCATGACAAAGGGGCGGGGCCTAAGCGAAGCACGAGGGCGGCACGTGCCACGAGGGGGGGTGTCACGTGCCACGAGGGGGGTGTCACGTGCCACGAGGCGGGTGTCACGTCAGCATCACCGCCCCGGGGGATTCTGGGTTCTGGGCGGCCATCGGTGAGGTAGCACCTCAGCGTGGTAGAAACCCTGAGCCATGCCTGCGGAGAGGAAGTCGTTGAGGGGGAGGACCCGGTCGAAGACCCGGGGCCAGCGAGGGGTGCGCTCCAGGCTGACCAGCACTGAGGCGGGCTGCAGCGCGGAGAAC